GTGTGTGTGTGTGTAGGGGGGGAGGTTATGCAGCATTACGCGTTACGGCGCTAGAGATGATGTCATTTATAGATGAACAAAGAGGCTGAGACTGAGCAGTCTGAGTAATAGGAAGCTCAAAAACCTCCAGAGAATAAAAGAAAGAAAAAGAATTCACAGGTGCTAAGGTGCTTTATTGAACTAAAGTATCTCAAAGAGATTGACAAAATAATATTCGACTGCTTTTGATGACATAAATATTTTCCCTCGTTCAAGAAATGTACATTTTCTGTATATACAAAAAACAACCCACAAAAAAAAGAAAAATCCCCTGAAAAACCAAACAACATGACTGCAAGGTGCTTTTCATTGACAATTTGAGACTGAAGGTAATTATACATACATTATACATAAAAAACAAACAAACAAACAAACAAAAAAAAAAAACAGTGGCTATACAGAAACCAAAACTCCTGACAGAACAGTACAGAGGATGCAAGTCATTTTACATCCAGATGTATTCAAGCTTTGTTTTTTTGTTTCTTAGTGCCTTTAGGTTTGGAAACATACTGCGTTTCACTGCCACAAGGGCAGAAAGAGTGAATTTGGCACTACGAATTCCTCCTAAAATACAGAATGCAATGAAAATCAAAACCCAGACGTGACACATCGGGTCATGACATACGCAGGTAAACGATAAGAAACACATTTCTGCTAGATATCTAAGGCACTAGGTGTGTATTTCTCAACAGAAAGTGAAGGGCATTTCTCAAGGTAAGGATATTGATGACTGATCTGTAGACAAAATGTCACAGTAAAACTGTACTTCATTAATCCAAGTGCAGGGCTTTAAACTGGCGAGCCAAGCAAAAAAAGTCTATCGATCAGAGGAATTTCCGTTTTAGTGCATAGGAGCAAACACAACAAGGGTTTAGGCTACCGTGCTTCCTGTTAGTTTCTGCATTTATGTGAAAGTGACCAGAAGGGCAGACAGAATAGGTGTCAGCAGCGGACCAATACATGTAATTATTCAGTCAAAATGAGGCTACAGGGCTAACAAATTACCAACTGTACATTTCTGTGACACCTCCATTAAAGAGTCATCCAATTTACAAAGACTCTCACATTCTCAATTACAACCTAGCTGTGCAGATCTCTCCCCCCCCACTATAAATGCTTTATCATTTCAACTACTTTCTACCAAGGAAATTAGTGCAAATTAAAACCTTTCGCGAAAAAGAAAACATGCTCAGTTTTCAGAAGTGTGAACATGATTCAACCTTCAGGAAGTCATAGAAATGTGCACCTTCAGTCTATAAATTACTTCTACTGTACAGCATTCAAAAACAACATGAAACACAGTCAGGGGCCAGAGTCTCACACTGATAGTTACAGTGGCTCATTATCAAATCTCATGACAACAACTGCAGCCGATCCACTGCACAAAATTCACACCCTGACAGAATTTGTGAAGGTTCATTATAACATAACTAGCTTCGATTTTGACAAATGTTACTCTAATGTTAAAGCATCTTCCTCCCCCCCCCCTATTTCGGGCTACAAAACCCCCGTTTACAACAGTGATGCATTAGTCATTTAAGTAAGCTAATCATCAGTTGTTATCTAGTCGGTAATACGAATGTGAGACACTGTCATTGTCATATATATACACAAGTTAAACAAAGATTTGGCATCTGGCAGAAAATACTTTATAAGTAACCATACTACTAAAGTTGGCAAGTATTCACATCTAGTGTATATGAAAGAAAAGTCAGATCTCTTCCATGCAGTCTGGTGAACAGGTGCATGTGCCAAAATACTCTAATTTTTTACGTTTATACAAAAACCTAAGTTTACCTTTAAATCCATTATAGCTTTGTTTGATTCCTGAACTACTGGGGCTGCAGAGCCCAATGACACTAACACGTACAATGCTTTCTCCGCAGTTTAATCACAGTTCTTGGTATGGCATGTGATTTTTGAGAGTCCTGATTGGCAATAAAAGGTGACTGGTTCCAAATGAATAAAACATGTTTTTGGGGAAAAGAAAAATCATAGGGTGTATCATTATTATTTAATAGCTACTCAAAGGATAACTGTGTGTTAAAGATTTAATGATGATGGCAACAAAATATTGTCTCCAACTCCTGTGCTGTGGAGTTTAGCCAAAAGTGCTGATAATCACAGGTGAAAGTGACAACATAGCCATTACAAAAACTACATAACACTTTTTTTTTTTTTTTAATTTTGTGAGTACCAAATGTTTAAATCGTAAATGAAATGGTGAATGTCTGAGCATGCGGCCGCACACTCCAAACGATACATGTCACAGATCTGTGACACAGTCATGTCTTGTTTCTATAGATTACTCAAAGTAGACAAACAGTCCAACGTGGTTGAGTGTGGTAGTGTGTACTGGCTGCATGGTTTCTCTGTGCTACAAAATACTAAGAGGCCAGCTTACGGTGGCTCCCATACAGTAGCCTCTTTAAACAATGCCCCTGCTGATGGCGCTCTTGAAATGCCAAGAGTCCTGGTTTAGTGCCAGGCTTAAACTTCTCAAAGAGATCCATTATCATCCGATAGACAACATGATAATGTGGTTAACTAAAGGGAATGTTTAACCTGAAACTCTTCCCAAAAACCAGTAGCTTATATAAGTTCTAATAAAAATGATAAACTAGAGAAATATTTTTCCAGGCTTCAAAGCTTGACCGATATGACAAACCCAGTGTGCTGGCACAGCAGACTGTGCCCCATTCATGTAGCCCTCCTGCCTGCTCTCTCATCACAGGGATAAAAGACGAGCTGAGGACAAGCAGGAGAAATGCTCACAAGGTTTACACAAAATGTGCCAAAACCTTACTGGTCAACACCTCAAGCTCAGTTCTTCCATTGGGATTTACCTAAGATTTTAGTACAAAACAAAAAAGGTCTGATGACTCAGCAATCCATTACAAAATCCTGCAAAAACAGCAGTTCAATAAATCTTATGACCAAGAGTGCGTTTAGGTAATTAGTCAAAATGGAATTCAGATTTCTCAGGAAGACAAATCCTGTTTTAAATAAACTGATGTACTGCGGCTCAGCTGTGTCTTACTGAAGAAAAATGACCATCTGAATTTTATGGATTTACCTGCAATAACTACATGACATCATCTAATTGCACTAAGAGGCCAGAGTTCATTTAAACAAACGAGTACAAGCCACATGAACACAAAATACAGAGTTTGTGGAAAAAAAACTCTTCTCTCAGACAATCGTGCGTGATCTTAAAGCCACCGGGGCTTCTGCTCGGTAACACATTAGTTATGCTCAATCAGCTGTAGCAGTCCATGTTGTAAGGCAGAGACAACACATACATCGGCTCTTTTGTTAGTCCGCACACACACCGTCCACAGGCTGCCCACACTCAAAACAGAAACGTATACATTACATCTCAAGTGTCATCCAGGACGCTTGAAAAAACAAACAAAAAACATGGAAACTACAAAACACACATTAGAGATGCTGTGTGTGCATACAGAAGAAAATAATGCGTTTCCCCCTAATTTGATGAACAAAACTTTCCAACTCATGTTGCATTTTTTCGTTCCTGCAGAACTAGGTACCTTGTCAAACATACCACTCCCTGCGTGAAATGACTGAGCCATCTTTATGAGATACATAATCACCGTCGGGCCCGCTATCGTAGCAGTCGTCTGACATGTAGGGGGAGCCGTTTCCCTGTAGTTTGGGTGAATGAGGGTATCTGACACATCTGGCCTGCTGTGGACTAGAATACTGTGTGTGTTCATGATGGTGATTCTGTTGATGACTGTGGCGCCTGCTCTCCCTCATTGCCCTAGTGTACCCATTAACAGGATACTCTTCTCCATTATAGTCACTATGGTGGCGGCGGTCCCGCTCCTGCTTCAGCTGGCGGTCGCCCCACTCCTCTCGATCATGGTCCCGATGCTGAGATCTGCTGCCAGCTTTGGTAGGATGGAGTTCGTGCTGAGTGGGAGCTTTCTGGAGATCATTTGGGCCCAGGTACTGCTTGGTGTAGTAGTTCCCATGAAAGGTCTGCTGCTTCCGTAGGTAACACACACCAACCAGAGACAGCAGCAGCAAGAGGAATAAGGCTCCTCCCACGGCCCCACCCACTATGGAACCAAGATTACTTTCGGGAAGGGCTTCAAGTGTGGGGGAGCTCAGAAGGACGTGGCCCTTATCATCCACAAAAGTGGAGGAGAAGCCAGTTAGGACAGGAGTGGTAATGGTGGAAGGCATGGTGGGAGGATCTAATGGAAGGAAGGAGGGTGAGAGGGGGATAAAGAGTGAAAGACAGAAGCAGAATGTCAATGCCAACTACATTTTGCTAAGAAGGAAGAGGATGACTAAAACATCTAAAACTATAGCAGCCTCAGGTTTGCAAATTCCCACTGTTACAGATTAGTGAGTAAATATAAAATTGTATCACAGAGAACAATGGGCTGACCTATTAGATGATGGATTAATGAGAAAAGTTGGATCTAAAAGCCTGTCCTAATCACTATATCCTCACTATGTGTATTGTTAAGCATACTCTGATTTTCAGTAATGTCTTTCCAGATCCTCTTAACAATAAAAGCATACTCTCTGCCAACATGGACAGCCGACTAGTCATTCTTACTATGCTTATTTGAAAAATGAGTGCATTGTAGAGTAAATTCTGCATGATTGACTTTGCTTTGTTTCTTTGACCGCAGAAAAACAGGAATGCACACAGATGTCCAGCAATGTCACCACCACACTGCACTGTGTTTCTATGTGGTGTAGTATGCTGTGCTTACATACTCCATTCCACTTGAAATGGAGTTTATTGGGATTGAGTTTACTGTACCTAAGAGTTAGTTTGTATGTACCCAAAAATCATAGCACTAGATCTCTGTAAAGTTCAACCAGACACCACAACATAACAGCTATTCTCTTGTGATCAAAAAAGGAAAAAAGCAGGTGACAGCGATAGCAGACCTAACATGGCTCAAACTGTTACTTTAAGTTAATGTGCATTCTTTTACTTTGGGCAAATCAGGCCATGCCATGTGTTCAACACTTTGTTTTTCATAGGCTACAACCTTTGGTATTTTTGCTAAATTAAAAAACCCCATTGAAAACACTTTTATGGATTTATCTCTATCATAAATCAAAGTCTTTAGAAACTGTCTAAAAGGATCAGGTCATGTTTTCAGCTACTTTTGTATTAATTTAAACTAAAAAAAATATATGACAACAGGCTTTGTACTGTCCCCTCAATCAATTTGTAACTTCAAAGTATTTGCACATGCTGATGCCAGCTCAGCACATTTTCTACATGCAGAGAGAAACAAGTGACTTGACTACATGATAAGAAACACCAAACAGTATCAGCGATGTCCTTAAAATTCTGCAGTCTGTAGGGGTTATCAATGGTATAAGCAGATTATTTTGGGTATACGTTTTAAATGATCAAGAACATACATTTAAGACCGCACTTTTCAAGTATAAACCTTCACTATTCCACGAATAGAACACCAACCTTAAAATGTAATGGATTAGTGGTTTTTATCCACAAACAGACAAGCCAAAGGCTATAATTATAAGAAGCTAGAGTAATGGAAAAAATCTGAGTCTAAAAGCTTTAATGGTGCTGCAAAATTGCTCTGCCACTTTAACCCTGGTGCCAGGCCAGATGTGAGGCAAAGATTCACATCTGAAAGAGCAAACACATGAACCCGGAGGTCTGTGGTCTCCAAGTATGTGAAATGTACAACTCCATGAAGAGTGAACTGATGAGTACACCCACAACACGACACACACACACACACACACACACACACACACACACACGCACGCACAATGGAGGGTACACCAACATGCATAAGCTTGTGAACACCCGTACAGGTCTCTCAAAGGAAAATGAAATATGAATGATAAATAATAAATAGGAGTTGAAAAGAACTAGTTAATGTTTTATGAATCTGGGACATCATCTCACAGTGAGGCTGCAGGCTTTTGCCTCTCACTGCATGACACATGCAGGAATAAAAGAAACACAGAAAGGAGGCGAGAGAGTGATGAAAAAGGAAATCACATCATAATCAGAACTTCATTCAGAAAGAGAGCTTCCACTGGCAAGACAGATTTTGTGAAACCAAAGGAACATGCTCATCATTCACAACAGAGAGACACGACGCACTCAGATGCCAAGCCAGCAGGACAGAGCAGAGGCAGCGCACTGTGGTCTGAAGAGGCCGAAATTATTTGCAGCTGTTTGGCCCAGGAACTCTCTTTTGAACATCTGGAGGCGTAATGTTAATCAAGCCTAATAAGCATGCAATTAAGACCAAATGTAATAATATCAGTATGAACACAGTGTACCATGGGTGATTACTTGATAAACTGTCAGTATGTACAGAATGAGCGAGAGTGATAGTGTCCCATTTCAGTTTGAAGGACAACGACACAGGCACCGATAACCTCTATGACGTGCAAACACGCACAATGCTTCCTAAGGGAAGAGAAGGCAATAGGAGTCAGCTTTGTTCCGGTGTGTATAGTCTGCTCACCTTGTATGAGAATACGCACATCCCGACTGCGGAGGTTGATGTCATTGGCAACCTCACACCTGTAAACGCCAGAGTCATTCCGCTGGAGGGGGCGCAGGAAAAGCAAAGTGCTGTTTATCATTTCCACCCCTTCAGGCATCTCTCTGTCCAACCTGTGACACACAAGAGACAGAAACCTTAAGACACGCAGAGGGACACACAATTGATTGGGACATTTCATGAGGAAGGCATAATAAATTATCATTTGAAAATTATTTCAAGGATGTGAAAACCTTAATTTTACTGTTTATTTTATATCAAATGTAAAGCTCTATCTTACTAAAATATCAGAGTATAATTCAACCTAGCTCGATCAGCATTTGGCCCGCTGGGTCAATTTCAATCCCAGACAAACCGTGAACGTTACACGCAGACATACGGATACTCATACCTGATCCATCTGAAGTGATGAGCTGGAGGGTTAGCGTTCGCTTTGCACGTCATTTGAACATTTTCCCGGCCTATGTACCAGTCTCCATCATATCCAACGACGGAGATATCAGGAGCAACTGAAGAGAGAGAAAAGCAATTATGTGACATGACCACAAAATGGCCAGACACAGTAAATGGCCTTAGAGAACAGTGCTCCAAGTACAACCATTTTCCTGGTATGTCTGAAGCATTATAGTGAGTCTGAGGTCAGTAATGGGCTAAAGACATAAGCTTGCAAATATGCACTAAGATGCTAGATAATCTATAAACATAATCTGCAGAGAGAAGCAAACATTCATGAGTGCTTGTATATTGCAACGTTTTTCACAATCCTAAAAGAACCATCAACACTACACAACTGCAACCATGAAACAGTGTCCCCCCATTTTTACCGGTTTACTGGTTTCATTTGCACATTCATTATGAAAATAATGTAACTGAAATATTGTGTTGACATTGCACAAATCTATTCATTAAGGTGCTCACAAGGTTTCTGAGAAGTCATCTGCACCACCCTGGCTCTTCTGCTGGTATGCATTTGTTTCACACAAATATACTATTACAAAGTAAAAGATTTTGTTACATGGTAAAATTGTTGCCACATTTTTTCCACTGTTGCATTCAGTGAATAAGCAGAAAATCCTTTATAGTTTCCATATGTCACAAAGCAGTAAATCAGAGCAAAGAAAAAAAAAGTATCTGTCAAACAAAGACTTTGGAGGTGGTCACTTTACTCTTTTCATAAGTTGGTAGCACATGTTACGTAGCAAAATAGCTGTACTACGCTGAGTACATTTACTGTGGCATCTATGGGATTTGACTGGAAGAGAACACTTTCTAGACAACCAATATTAAAAAATAATTAGCTGACCTTTTTGGAGTTTGTTTGTGTTTTTTTTTGTTTGTTTTGTTTTTTAAATTTAGTGAAGCTGTAACACCACAAGTGCAATGGGTAACTGGTTTAATGATTATCGCAATCTTACAGCACAAAATCTTCTCTAAACTTTAACTTACTAACTCTGGCAGGAACAGAATTATTAAACACATTCTTCACATATTTATTATTCTTTCAGTTTTTAATTTGTTAGCCCACACCAGTCACTCACAAGGCACTTACACTGCACATTGAGCTGGTAGGGGATCCTGAAGTCATTCTGCAGAGCTGGGTGGCGGACCACGCAAGTGAGTGTGTTTCCCTGAACATGACGTGTAGGCTGCCAGATGTAACGCACTTGTGTGCTGGTAGTACCATTGGGTTCATCAAATAGCTGCACCTCTGACTGGCCAAAAAGGTTGGACTCCCAGGACACTTCAGCGGGTGGTCTGGCTCGCTCAGCGATGCAAGTAGCGACCACAGTTTCATTGCCACCATCAATCAGTGCAGTTGAACCAGCAGACACATAAACCTTCGGCTCCACTGTTATTAACAAGAGTGAAAACAGAATCAACAGAGACAACAGTAAAGACTTTGAGGTTGCTTTACTGAGTTTCAAATGTTTACAGTACACTGATATTTTTCCTGCATTATTAATTGCATTTTATTCCTTTTTGTCCAAGTTAATGTTAGCAGCTAGACCTGTGATCTGTTCTGTGAAAACAAAGAACACACTAGGCATCGAGAACGCAGAGTAACTAATATTATTTAATTATATGACTCTCAAAAGACTGCAATTCTGCAATGTGTAATATATTGGAGGACGATCTATGATGATCCTGTGGAGTTCTGTTTTACGTTTGTTGGCTTCTATTCACTTCACTATAATAATGGCAACAGCAAACATACATAAAGTACTATTCTGTTAAATAATATCACAAGACATGACAATTTGTTTTATAAATGCAACACAAAACTAGAAACACAGGATTTAACCTGCACATAAAAGCTTTCTATGCAAGCATCAGGAGTAGATGCTGACTAAATTTGTTTTTTCTGTCTTTTTCTGGACCTTTTCAGTGTATTCAATGCATGATTGCACATTTTGTAGAGTACAGCATGTGTTCACGCACGAGGGAGGACACATTACCTACATTGAACATATGAACACAAAAGAGCATAAATATTAAAGAACAAAAAACAAACTTTCCTCCCAAAAAGATTTGGACAGAAACATAAAAACTGAATAATTGATCTAATTATTTTATCTCTACCAAAAACCGCCTAAAGGAAAGCCAGTGTTTTCTCAAGAAAAGTACATCAAATGAAGACACACACTTACCAAGTACACTGACTGTGGTGGATGCTTGAGTATTTCCCAGAGGAAATGTGGCTACCTTACAGGTATAGATCCCGACATCAGCAAAGCCCACGTTTTCCAGTACGATGGTGGCATCATGGGAGGAGGGTGAGCGGAAATACAAACGATGGAGGAATTCTGGAGGGATGGAGGTGCCAAACTCCGGGTTGTACACAGCCACTGTGACAGAGCCTGAAGGCAGACGGCGCTCCCAGGAACTCTGAGTAAGAGTAAGGTTTGTGCCAACCTCTACCCTGCATTCTAATGTCACATTCTTCCCCAGCACGGCACTCACTCTTTTAGGCACCACCACCTGGCTGCACCACACACCTGCCAAAGAGACACACAAAATAACACTGATATACAAATCACCTTGATAATTTGTAAACAAGGGTTTAACTAAACATTTTAGCTATTAATAACTATTTTTGTGTTGTTTTTGAATTCTTAACTGGCGAAACTTCAAGCAACTAAAGACGGAAAAACAAACGAGTACAGAATCCAGAGCCATTGTGCTCAAACTATGTGGGAATTCAAAAATACTATCATACCTCCATTGAGAAGAGGGTATTTCTAGTGTTACTTCGGGCTTTACTAGTTTAAAAAAAAAATCTATTTAATATCTATACAGAACTATCTGACATCTGTGGGTATCAGACTAGAATCCAAACTTGATCCTACCACAGCAGACACTCGGATCTTCAACAAATAATACAGTTTACTGTGTGATTCAGTGTTCCCATTGATGAGTTTGTTTTGTCTCTACAGTGTTCCTCCTCCTGACCTGAATTCAGGACTTCAAAGCAGGCTGCCTGTATGCGTTTTGTCCAAATATAACTAACCCGTGCACTCTGTCACCTGCGCTTGTCAGAAATGTGGCATGTCTTGAAAGCAGGAGCTCAGTGTTGTGGAAGGTCAAAGAGATATGAAGACAGACTGCGACCGGGGAGGGAGAGAAGGAGGGGGAAAAAAAAAAAAAAAAACGGTGAAGGGAAGAGATATGCTAACATGATGACATCATCGATGAGAGAAGAGAAAGCTGAGCGTGAGGAAAAGCAAGAGCGAAGTCATATAAAACACAGGGGAAGGAAATGCACCATCAGGATTCCTGTACAAAAAAAGAGGAATTACTGGTTTAAAAAAAATAAAAATAAACTCAACACTGCAGGACTGCCAATGCCTTCAACTACGCTAATTGCAACAAGCTGCCAGCAGGAAGACATCATCATAAATCAAAACCTGCTGCGCTGCTTGGCAACAGACTTCAAATATTCTATTGTTGTTTTGCCAAAAAATAGCTCCGTCTCCGACCAATCTCCCTCAAAAAGGCCATGTCCGCAAATACTGGCACAGCCCAAGGAATTTTTCCTACCCCTACAATATGAGAAGCAAATATCTGTTTTCTAATGTTACCGTCACTGGAGCCTTTTGAGTTGTGTAACAACACTGTACTTATTTATCAGTTTTTCTAGTTTTCACTAAAATTTAAGATTCATTTAATTACAGGTTAATCATTAGGACTTCCAAATGACTCTTGTAATCAAAGCTAAGTTGCTTATAATGTGACTTTGTCATTATGACATAGAATAATCTACCTTACAAACTGCAGTATAGATTGTTGTGCCCTTAGCGTTTCTTTGTTTGAACTTTTGGCTGAAAACATAGATATGTAGCTATATTCGAGAAACAGGATGACATGTAAAGTAGGGGAACTGACAGGCAATTTAAGAACTTCAGTATGCTATGAATGCTCTCCTGTGTTAAAACAAACAAACAAACAAACAGGAAATAAAAATTCTTTGGGTCAATAAGATAAACTAGTAGCAATCCAAAGCCATTATTCACACTTTAAACTAGGAAGTGTGTCATCAATGAGAGTTTCTCTTTGGAAACAAAATGGAAAATGAATTTGCCTACACTTTTCCTTGTCATCAGAAATATCCTGATATAATTTAGGGCCTATGTCACCAACCCTCGGTTGCAATCAGGTGGCGAGCACTGCTCTGTAGCAACATTTGTGTAACGGCTCGTTTGTCTTCCTGTGTTTATTTCCCTCAAAGTCCAAAATTTTCCAAACAGCGCTCCTTCGGTTTTATTTATCAATCAAAACCATTTGGAGAGACTGTGTCCATCTGTTTAACATACTGCTAGTTGACTGGAGAGAATGGAACAAGTCACTTGAAAAGAATCACACCAAGAGTCAGTGAGAGGGCAGCATGATGTATGTGTGTGGCTGTGTCTGTGTCTGTGTATGTAATAGACCAAGAAAACCTGCTGGAACTGGTGCATCAATACTCAGGATAAATATAATGGAAAAATACTGGTGACTGCCAGCGCTACCCCTCAGTCTCCTATGTTATCAGTCTCAAAGTCCTACATTTTATTAGTTAGCAAGTTATCACATCCACAAGATTTCACTGAGATTTAAAATCGTCTAAGATCTTTAATAGATGCACTTACTGTATCAATTTGAAAATCCTACATGACTTTGTTCTTGAGTTAATGTATTCACAAGAATTTCAGAAATCTTGACCTTTAACCTTGAGATCGATGTCACTAAGGTTTAAACTCATCTGAGATTTTTATTAGAAAGACCTGTGGCATCAATTTGAAAATTCTACGTCGCCACGTTCGAGTTATTGCATTCACATACTTGGGTGACGACAATACCCCATCAGCCTTTTATTGCTAACGGGTACAAAATGACATTATCTCATCAAAGCTCAAACATTTGTGAATATTTTATCTACTCCTATTAAGAAACTAACAACATTTTCATATTACTTTCAAATATTACTATGATTTAATCATTACCATTAAGCTCATTACATGGAGGTTTGCTGCCATCTGAAGCCAGTTTTCTGTCAAACAATGCTACACTACTCTGGAGAGAGTAAAATGATTTATTAAAAGCGTGACTGTAAGCTATGTCTATTCCTTTCTACAAGCATACTGAGCCTATTCACAAATGGAAGGCACCACATGTTTATGCAAATAAGAAAAAATTACAAATACAAGATGGATAAGGATGACTGCAAACCAACCATCAGCAGTCGAGCTACTCTAAAACAGGCGTATGCCCTATTTCGCCTAACACACAGTTAACAACTTCCTCAAGGGAGGAAAAGCTGTTCAGAACATAAAAGAATACCCCACAGCAAATGTTTGCTATTCGTTCAGATGCTCAAATTAATTAGAAAGTTCCCCCAAACAGAGCATCTTCGAAACGAGGGAAAGCCATCTAATTGGACACGAGATGCATGTCACCACAACAAGGTTTAGAAATAAATATCAATATTGATTAATACAGTGTGTGAAATGCCAGACTGTAACTACAGTACAGCACACTGTAAACAAACCTTTTCCTGGAGTTAAAAGAAAGCTCGTTGTACAAGCTTTTGAATGACTTGACTAAATTGCCTGAGTGAAGGCATAGTGAAGGAAGAAAGCAGCACTTTTCCTGCACTGAATGTGTAATGGAGAGGTATAGCGACGGCATTAAATTTTTATTCGTGACATGACGACAACCTTACATAAGCGTGCCCTCGTTTTCTCCAACTCGGAGTAAAAAAAGAAAAAAAAAGTGAAGAGAAAGTCTATCAAATCTTATGTGAAGCCTATCTTCACATAATAGCGATTCCTTCCCTCTCCTTTTGATGCTCTCAGACAGCCAAAAGAAAGTGTTTTTTTTTAGATCTTGCAATCCTTAAATCCTCAGAAAGAGCAGAATCTTCAGACACTTTCAGTTTGCTTTGCAAATTCAACACAGTCTCTCATTGACACAGAGCAGAAAACAGATTATAGATATTCTGGCATCAAGGACACACTGCTCCCTTGGGACATTCTGCTACTCATTCTCACTTTATTGGGCATTACATGTGTGGCAGCAATATCTTGGTACAGGACACCATGTCTTGTTAAAAGTGGAAATCACAATATAATAGGTGATGGTTATAGAACCGAAGATGGGAATCCAGTTTTGTAGAGCAGGACAGGAGTGCATTAAACACCTGTTTAATAAGCTGATCTTAACCCATAGTCACATCAACTTCTTACTTCAAATGACTCAGTCTTAAAATGGCTGTCCATCAGTGGTGAATCAGCAGGAGCTATTCAAGTTCAACACTGAGCTTATCTTTGTGTACATGTTGCAGTGTTTTTCTTTTAACTCCAGGAGAACGTTTGGCGATTTTTTTACTTGTGTCTTGTAAAGTTACATTTTTATGTTGCCTGTACAAATCCAACACCACAATCGAAAATAAACAAACAGATAAAACAATGAATGAATATTGAATGTTTCATATTAAACTGAAACCTTGAATATTAAAACTTGAAAATACTGCCATAAACACCATATTCAAACACATACACATAATAATGGCAGTTGCCTAATAATTATGAGAAGCACTTGGCTCACCCTAAAAAAATAAAAATAAATAAAAGATAAATAAACAAAGCACAGATAAACCTATTGTGTGTGCCATTTGAAGTCAAAATTTCTGAATTTCCAGTTAGAATTCTATTTTTGATATACATTTTTTGTGCTTTGAGCCTTTATTGTGAGAGGCCAGTGAAGAGAAGGCAGGAAAGAAACACCCGGCAGAAGATGGGCAGTACATAACCTCAAGGTTGACTTTGAACCCGGGTTTCTGCATTTGCCTTATGGCATCAACCCACTGGGTATGGCTAGTGATGCATGAATGACTCTATCTTGCAGTTTTCCCTTGCTTTTTACTACAGGAACACGTTCAACTCTGGAGTGGTGTCACTCCCATCTCTGATATCCAAGTCAAATGGGACACATTATTAGTCATGGTGAAAACTGTGCAGAGCATTGCTGCAACTGATGGCTACAGCCGCAGTTCCCACACAATAAAAGTAACTGTTTCAGAATCACAACATGTTGATGACAGCACATTGTTACAAGTTTAAAATGTATGTGACCACTCTGTGATATGCCCACATGCCTCTCTCTGAGGTGCTAAGCTAAGTTTGAGGCCTCCTGTTTGTTCTGGAAGCTTTGCAGAATAGTTGGCATGATGATTTTGGCTGTTGAACCCAATTATCTGAAGCTCAAGCACAAATTATCTTGATTGTGGGGTGGGGTCCTACCTCAGAATGGGCCTTCAGAGGTGTGACTAGCCCACAGTAAAGGCAAAGAGTCCGTTTTACTGAAATCAGTATATGCCCCATCCATATTCCAGTCACAAAAACATTATTTTTCTCCAAAACTACAAGAAAAACTCTGATTTCCATACATGACTCTTGGTGTATTTTTTCAAACACATAGCACCAGACCTGTTGCTGAACTTGTACTTAACACTTCTGCTCCACATGTTGTTGTTATGACATCTATGATAGGTCTGGTTACTTTTTATTTTTATTCATCATATTTTCAGAATTTTGGCATCGACTTCTTGGTAGAGCAAGTTTTCATGACATTTCTAGTCTCTTATGAAAACAGTGTTTATTTCCCTTTAAGGCTTAAACATTATTAGCCATAAATGTATATGCATCTATTTTGCATTCAACAAAGACACAAGGTCAACCTCCTCATTGAAATGTACCGCAGTCTTAGAGTGACTCAGTAAACTCATGTCAGGTCTTTAGAGAGTTATGGAGCTTCACTAGGTTTTGGTGTAGTGTAGGAGACCAGAGCTTTTTTTTGGTCTGCTTGCAAAACTACAAGAGAGTCCCTCTACGATCAAAACAGGGATATGGTGCTGGTGTGTCCACACAGGTAGCCTACAGTGGCATGTGTACCTGCTTTTTTTGTTCCCCCCTCTAAGTAGTGTATACATCTACTTTGTTGATGCGTTTAGTCAGTCTCATGGCCCTTTAGATATGGAAAGACTGCTGAGTGAAGTAAAGTGCTTGCTCTGATTCACTCTAGCTCGGGATACCTGGCTGCAGCTCATCATTATTCTTGGGCATGACAAAGATTTAATTATAGATGTTCCACTGGAAAAAAAAAAAGAAGTATATTTTGTTCAGATAGTTTTAGCATCATACTTGATAAAAGCAGTTTAGAGGCAGGGTTAGAGCTACACTGTCATATTCGTGCTTTTGAGTCAACACTTAGCACAAAGTTGGCGTGCTTCAGGGTGGAGTCAGGAAACTCCCCATTCCCTGATTAAACCATAATGAGCTCAGGCTCCTCTGCAGGCACATGGTGGCTGACCCTCATCCCGACCTGATGATGAGGGGGGGCGGGGGAGTGCTGCGCTAGCATTGTCCTCTCTGGTGACACGACTTGAAGTTCCTCAACATTTCTGCACGAGCAGCTGGCGTGACATACTTCACCGCATCATGTTACTTTAACAGAAACTGTTTCGGGAGCTAATATGGCTGCCACTGAGTCTCCAGTGACCTAAGTGTAGGCTGTGTAGCGGACGGTATATCTGACTGACTATCACCGCTCGCGCTCCTCGGCGGTTTCTCCGGACTGTTTCTATGGCAGCCCGGGTTCGCACCAGCATCCGCTGTGGTGGCGCTGGCTAGCTACTACTCCCGAGGCGTCGGAGTGAACTTGTAACCAAGTTTGGGGCTTTAAATGCCACCGGCTAAACTTGCTAGACTTGCGGCTTCAAATAAGCACGCGGCGGCAGCTAGTTTTGCCGACTGACATTTCTCCGTGATGCGCGAGACACTCACGCAGGCTCCTCACAAAACTTCTCTGTAACGTTGGTAGGACCCCCCAAAAATCACCACACACACAAAATCAGCACTCACCTGTAATACTGAACAAAAGGAGGAATAATGCAACCTTCCTCTGCTGTCTGAAGTAACTCCTTTGAGAAGACGGTAACATTTTCAAAAGCCGTGCAGCCTTCTACCACAGGACCAAAGCGTAGGATGCATGCCAATCTAACAGTATGTGCGGAACAGTGGAACCTCCTCAGCAACAACTCCGAACTGCATGCGGACTGTACCATCTATGATCGTGGAGCGGGGAGACTGGGGGCTCACCTGACAATTGATGTAAATGGTAATTTGTCGAGGTTCGACAGCAACCTCCCCCTAAAGGAATACTCCATTAGTATACACATTACGTCATCTCTGTTGATAACCCGACATATTATATTGATTCATCAAATCACTTCCCCCCCTTATGTGTCTTCTCACAGAATAAATAAAATAAATAAATAAATCCACATCCTTTACGGCTGCCAAAAATATGAATTCGGTCTACTTTCTTTGTTTCTCAATAGGCACCAGGATTTACAATTAAATTATATCATATTTTAGTTAAAAATAAATTGGTGGAAGGCTTGGCCTTTTAGTAATTAAACTTATTTTACATGCAACGTCTTCTACTCTAATTCTTTAACATCGAAATGTAGAAAAAACATTTTTTATTTGACATATGTGGTCTAACCATTGACTCCAGACATTCACCACCATTTTGAATTTGAGCAACACATTCAACCAATCCTATCCAAATTGGATTACATTTCATATCATTCAATCCTTTAAAAATTCTTATAAGTATTATTTGATATGATTGACAATACTTTCACAAAACAGCTTCCTCCTCCCATCTGTTTTTTCTCTGAAAAAAATTCGGTTGAACATGTGATTAAAACATCATAATTCATGTATTAGACCTCCCCTAAATATATTTGTCGTAATAATGATGATGGAGTACTTTTTAAAAAGGGCATCATATCAGAGTGCTGACATCCTGTTCATCAGGGAGTTCACAAAATGTCAGACAAATATGTGAAAACTTAAATCTCAGCATAGGATTGGAAATCAGCATGCATGGAGTTCAGACTGGCATGGTGAATATACACTGATTTACAAACTGTTACCGGCTCCTTTAAACATATGTAACTCCTGCCAGGTTAAATCATATGATAAAAACATGCCAGACATACAATTCACCGTAATGCTGTTTCACTGTGTTTGGAAGTGTGGAGAGACATTAAAATATTTTAGAAAGCAGTAGGTGATGTGAGAAGAGTATTTCAGATCCAGCTAATTTGTTTTTTACTTGGTTTATTTCCAAAAGGAAATAATTATAATAGAAATGAACAAAAACAAATCATTGTCAGTTTACTGAGTGCTAAAAAGATAAGAGCTTTGCTTTGTAAGAACCAAAAAAACAGAATAAAATTAACCAAACAAAAATATTTGAAAAGGTTTGGGAACATTCTCGACTTTGTAAATAACTTGGACTTTATCTCAACCATGCAGTATTTGAACCGGTGTTCTTTTTTTTCCATGAACACTTGTTTTGGAAATGTGGATTGCCATGTTTTATTTTAGAGGAGTTTGCTTTTTCATGTCTGTCATTGCTTGTGCTTACAGTCAATTTAGAATCACCAGTGAACCTAACCCCATGCATGTCTTTGAACTGTGGGAGGAACCCTGAGTGCTCAGAGAGAACCCACAGATGCACAGGGGAAACACGCAAACTCCTTAGAGAAAGGCCCCAGGCTGAATTTGACCTTCTTGTGGTGCTAACCGCTGCACTAGCATGCTGCCCTGCTTTTTTGTTGTTGTTGTTGTTAAAGAAAATTAAAGATATTATCCAAAAAACATCAACCCCGATAACTCTGAGCAGACCTCTGTTTTCCTTTTGAACCGTTATGTAAAAGGTGCTGGTGGCAAAGGCATTCATGCTTGTAATTCACTGGTTATTGGGTGGCGCAGGTGTAATTAATAGCATTAATAATGCCCCAGTTACATTTAGCGTGGGTTTTCCATGGCACATTGCATGAGCAAGTCATTATGGCCCTTCTGGGACACTTACATCTAACTGAATCATTGATAATGTTATTACTTCCACCTCTATTTTTCCTGCAATGACAAATCAAAAGGTCTGCAGTAAAAACAAAGGTCACGCCTGTTTAACCTGCTCGTGGCCCCCACGTAAAGAAATTAAATTCATGAAACTGGCATGATTTGCCATGCCACCGGCCGGGCAATGTAGCTGTGGCATTCAGGGGTTTGTAGTGAAGACCTTCCAAATCTGCCTTACTATCACTATATACTAAAATGAAAGAAACAACTCATCTCCCAATGCGTGTTCTGTTTTTATCAGCAGATGAGAAGAAGATGGCTATTACGCACTTGTTAACATTTTCTCTTCCCAAGGCTATCCCTGGGTGTGTCACTTCCATGATTCTGTGGCTCAGGGTGCTCCTCATGGTTCAGTCAGTCAACAAGTTAATCTTTGAAGAGTTAATGTGGGTGGGACGGGCTGGGAATTGTGGGGGCAGCACCCCCACCCCTTCTTGCTGACAGAAAGCTAACCAGGTCAGTGCTTTAATTCGGGTCACAGGGGATACAATTACTCTCCCACCATGACATTCATCTGCAGCTCTATAGTGCGAACGGCTGCGCACGTTCGTGTGCACGCGAGCATTATAGCACGTCTCTTTGGCTCTGTACTGAAGTGAGTAAAAATGCATTGAACATTCCCATTGTTTCTAAATTCATTCAGAAAATATTGCCTTGAGTGCAGTGCATCAAGTTGAAAGCTATATGTTGTCATGTGTTCTGAGAAACTGAGATGAGGGAGAGTGAAGAGTGTGCTAAAAGACTCTGTAATTCGATTTTGACTCTTCTTCTATATCATCACTTGTACATTAGAAAGTCCCCGCTGACTTTTCCACAACCCTTCACAAGAAGCGGTAAACCTTTCCATCCATTATAATATTCGACAATGGTATACCTTTTTGATTTTTCTTTGTAAATTATATGCTCTGTGTGTTTCATTCATTTCTTTTTCTTTCATCAGCGGTTTATTAATACAACTGAATTTCCATTTTATCCTAATTGCTTACAAATGCTTCTACAATTTGTCAAATCAGGATACACAAATAAATATGTGGCAAGCACAGGGATTTAGGAGAAGGAATTCTGCTTTGCACTGTAATATGCAAACAAAAAATCAGTCCCCCATATGTGTGAGCAACAGCAAAGCAATGGTTTTTCTCCCATGTCTTATCTTTAATTAACAAACACAAAGATAAGCTTTCTGTCTGTCTGTGCCATCTCTTCTTTATCTTTAGCTCTCCTCTGGATGCGCTTCCTGTGAACACAGCAGAAAGGGAGATCCATAACTTGTATCGTCAAAAGTAATATTGGAACTCCAAAGAAAGCTGCCATTAATAATAAAAATTTAAAAAAGCCCACAGAATCCACTTTCTTGGGTTAGCCTGTGAATGGTTTCATGCTCATGATAAGAACCTTTCCCTCCCGCTCTCTCTCTAAACTGAAGCCGCTCTCTGTCACCAGGTACTTTCTCGCTCTGGAATGTTTTTCAGCCGTTCAAGTGCTCTTTCATGAAGGCCAGAGAGGTATTGAGAGGGCTTCAAGTTTGCAGCGGAGTAAAGATCGGTTAAATTAATCCACCTCCTGCTCAGATGCTTCTTTTATTCTGTGGGTCAGTACTTACCTCCCTGTTTACCCACATAAATTGTTCCCTCTCCCTGCGCTCTGTCTAAGCTCTTTCTCCTACACAAGTGTCTGTGTGCATTGTGAGAAAGAGGGAAAAGGAATTTTATCAGTCAGATCAGATATTCTAAATGCTGTACTGATGGAATAAGTTAGACTAAATCATAGAAGAGTTCATGATCCAGCTGCTTACATACCACACAGACTGAAATGAAAGGGCTGCAGCTGGAGCCACAGCTTCTACAACCACTCACAAAGCAAAGGTGACATCTGCTGGCTAAAACAATGAACTTTTTACATGCAGATTTAGACTTACTTTTACTGCAGTTTTTTCAATTGTAGATTTAATGAAATCGAACCTGATCATCATGAAATGTGTTACAGATAATTCTGTTATTAAATAGTTACTTTATAAGGACTCTATAATGTTTTATTCAAGGTTAAATAACACGTGTTTCATCTTTCCGGTTTAACTAACACACCCCCAGCAAATGGTAAAGACTTTATAAAAAAGCCACTAACAATTGTAGACTTGAAATATTATTATTATCTTTAAATCTTAAAGTCAGTTTGTCTGTTTGTGTGAAAAAAAATCAAAAGGCAGAGAGATCTATTATGAGCTTACATCATTTTTTAAAAAATCTAATTGAAAAAAAAAAGTCTATGTATCTCTTTTAGTATTTAATATTTTCTTATATAAGTAAAGCGATTAGTTAGCAGACAAACAATTTCCTTCTTTTTACATCAGCAGTTATTCTTGCCCGACCTTGAATGCATTAAGTATTTCCACAAAGGATAAGATGACGTACGCAGATGAGTTTGAAATGCTTTTGTTTTTCATAATTAAGGGAAAGAAAGACTTGAATAAAAGTATGTTTTTTGTTTTTCCCTTTATGACACATGTTAATGCATAATCAAAAACGAGCAACTCAGTCAAAAAGTAAATGATATTATTATTTCTAGTATAGATTTTATATTTCACGACATGTAATATAGAGATAGTTAATTGCAAAGTTTGAATCAACATGTTTTTAATAAATAAAAGTCATCCCTAAAATTGATAATCAAATTACCTGATAAGCAACATATAACGATAAAAAAGAGACTGAAAGGCTGCTGCACTTTATGTCTTTGAAATGACTAAGCAAAGCCGACCCTGCAGAACTTTAATAGTGCAATAAAAAGAACTGACCTTAGAAAGGATATGAGTACAGAATATGTCCTCAAATTCTGTTATGAATAAATACTCAAAACTAAGTGGCACTTCAAATGTGCATAAAAATATTCAGTATCTCCAATTCTGTAACATAAATACACAAAAATAACTCTCACTGGATAACATTTCTAAAACCTTGTCATGATTCTTGTGAAATCAGCCACATTTAGAGTGTGTCCATGCAGCAACTACACCAGAATCAGATGTAATTTTTAACATGTTTTTTTGCTCTTTATTATAACAGGAGATTAGACAATAAAGCTAGTAGAAGACAGACATTGTAACGAATAAATAAAATCTACCCTGCAGAGTTTAAGTTCATATACAAGGATAACTATTCAAAACTATGTTGCACTTTCAATATCTGTAATTCTGTAACATAAACAAAAAAACCCATCTTTGTCTCTGGCTAGATCAAATTTTTATAAAAATATATCATAGGCTGTAACCCCTAAACCACACAGTTAGAACACAGTTAGCGCTGAAATCAGGACAACGGTGATGGTTTAACACTGGTTCTAAAGCCAAATGTAAAATAGTATTTGAAGACACGGCAGAGAGTTTGATCTCTGAGGCCGTATATGAGCGGGCTCAAGCACTTTGGGAAAATGATGAGACCCACAAAGAGGACGTACTGAGCATGAATAGCAACATCAGGAGGCACTTTCAACATCATGCTGGGGTTTATCATATTAAACAGGGTGGAGGTGAGATACAGCCACAGCTGAACCAGATGTAGCAGCACTGTCTTGGGTGCCTTATTGGTATGACGTCCTCTAGATGAGGCTGACTTCACAGTGATCATGATTGCAGTGTATGTATAGATAATAATCATAGTCACAAACACAAAATAGAGAATGGTGAAGGCCATGTTTAAAGTCACATAAACTTCTAGGTGAAAAACACTGTTTCTGATGCAGAACGACTGCATAGGGAAGATCGTCTTCTCCATCCTGACAAACAGGAAAAGTTGTATGAATGAGTCTAAGGACGCCACCATCCACATAACAGCAATGGCTTTACCCGTCGACCTCACCGTGGCAAAGCTGGGGTGCCTCAGCGGAAAACAAACTGCAACATATCTCTCCAAAGACATCACGGCAAGGTTGAGAGGAGACATTTTAACAGTGACGGCCGCAACCAGTGAGACAAAAACACAAACATAGTTGATCATTCTGACCGTCATCACGGCAAAAATGTAAAGCATCATAGACAGCAGCAGCTGCACAGAGTCACATATGAGCAAATGACCAAACAGGATGTACCGGGAGGACTCTAGTAACAGAGGCTTCTTCAACAGGGCAAACATCATGATGGCATTTACATACAGGAAGAAGAAACACGGCAACATAGACAGCGCAGCTTTGACTGAAGTCTGAAACCGCGACGACTGGAACTCAGCCGTTGTGGCATTCATGACTGCAGTTTCGCACTGTGTCTGCAAAGGCATGAAAAACACAAACACGGACTGATTTTTAATATTATAAACAATTCTGAAAAGTGTAGATTGTGCAAGATGATTCTGTCAAATCTCACAAAAAAAACAGCATCAAAGTGAGAAATATGAGCCAAACCTAGATGGAAACTATGAAGTTGTATGCTTTGTAGACATATTACTTACATGTCACCTGTGTGGTTTGACTTCATTTGGCAAACACGTTTCGATGAACAAATGTGAGGAAAGAAGAGCAGCCTGTCACGTCCTTTTTATAGGTGGAGCCACGTCCTGACATCACCATCTGTGTCAGCTTCACAACCACTCAACACTCTGCATTAGCTGTGGAGTGAAAGTTTGGCCAAGTTGCCTAACTGATGTTATCTTTCCATCTACTTTTTACTCCACTTACCATTAAAAGATATCACACAGTTTGTTCTACATTCACTTGTTTTGTATATATTTCTCCTGTTTTGTTATTTATTCCTGCTGTCTTACCATTTACATTTTATTCATGCACAGTTGCATGCACATGGAACACCCATCATTTTATTGTACATGTACAATGACAATAAAGGGCTCTTCTCTTCTCGTGAAGGAATTAGATATCCATTTTAACATATTTTGTTTTCTTGAAATTTTATTATTATCATTCAAAAAGAGCATGGGAGAAGACGTGCAGCAAATTACCTGGGGTGATTATACCCAGACCTCTGTTGTTGCTCTACAGCACACAAGCTGCCAGCTCAACCCAGTGAGCTGCACCAACACTCCAGAATCAGATATTCTTTTAATAGACAATTTAATGTGAGTCATTAAAGAGATCAGTGATGCTGTTTGAGTTTTCTCTGTGAATAGTTGATGACACAAATAAGCCTGAAAAGGGAATCACACGACAAACATATATTTAATATGCCGTTTGTGGCAGCAGATATGAATTTTTAAAACATATTTCTTTTTTTTCTTTTGGGTCTAACGCTGCTGGAGGCTTGTTGTTTGTAGTTCTTTTTGCTGACAGCACTAATATCGCTTCACTCTTGTTTTTCATAATAAGATGATTCACCTAGACGATCATAAAACCCAACTGGATCTTTTCAGTCAGATTGTAAGAGAAAACAGGTAACTCCAGGGCATTTCTTCATGGATCCTTGATTAATGTACATTATGCTTTTAAAACCAACAGAGAACAGAAGTGCAGTGTGACACCGATTGTAATTTTCCTTTTCTTCTTTTCTAAAACAAAGCAAATAAAAAATGAAACATAATTTGCTGCGCCCATAAACTTTGCCCCAAGCAGCCATTATTTCAGTCAAATGAGTCATCAGAGAAGCTAAGGCAAAGAACAAACAAACAAACAAAAACCC